TGGTTATGAAAGTTCCGTTCGCCATGGTTCACCGTTGCTCCTTCGATCACATTCGATGCCAGATTTATTCGACGAGGTGATCGATTATTTATCGTTACGATCGAACTGATACCGGAGCTATTTGTCATTCGACGTCTGTGCTCGCCCTCGTTATATGTATTATACTGACGATTAGACCGCTGATGTTTATGGGAGTATAAAATTTTATGGATTAATTTCTGGAATCTAGATTTTTAAACATTTTTTTCGCCTTATAATTTGGTGGAACCTTCACTGTGGTACAGTTTGGTTGACTTTATAATTTCACTAACGAGATGATTCACTTTGATCTGGAGAACCATTAATGTGTAAGTAGAGCACAACACTGAAATGAAATATCTGGTGATACCAGTGCAGTGTGCTAATATTTACTCTTCATGAATCGCTACACAGCTGTTTATTATTAACATCAAATCAGTAAAGCATACTCTCATATGTTATACAGCTCGGCTTTTAGTTAGGTTCTATGACACTCGTATCTCATCATTATTCTAATGCCTGCGTAATACAGTGGAGATTGGAGTCATAATATCGAAGCAATTTTGATTGATCAGTCAAGTAATTTGGAAATGACATAAAATGGACGAAACAGAATTCTAGAGAAGTTAAATAAACCTCTAAATACTTGTGGAATTCCCTTTAGTATAAAAGCTAGAAAAAGAGGAATTTTGTAACTGTCATCAACATCTTCATTAAAGTCAGAATATTTAGAGAATTGTTTTACTATTTGTTGTTGAGATTAACGATACAAGGAGAACAATAATGAAACAAATTTTCCACAGTTAAAAATACGTTGATGAGTTTTTCAGGAGATGAAAGAAATTGTTTCTTTTACCATTTGAGCTGCTAAATTTTCATTCCTGGACCATTGTGCGACGATTCCAAAATGGCAGTCACCCACAAGAACCCACCTCACTGCGTTTTTTCTTCGTGCAACTTGAAACGAAGCCTCAGAAGGAACCTCGAATCGCTATTTACATATTCAGGAATCGCTTACACGATTTTGCACTTGGATTGTTAATTGCTCCTGGTTCGAATCAGCACTGGTATTCCGGTTGAATTGCTCGGTGAACCGTTTCCGTGTTCAACGCGTCCACTTGCTGACCGAAGGATCCTCGAGCCTCACCGATATATCGTGTCCCCATTAATCCTGATTATATCGGCCCTATCGCGCTTAAATCCCCGATGAAATTAAATACGCGAAGCAGCTTCGGGCTCAATTGACTGCGCCCAGCGGGGGCGTTGATCAACTTAAATCCGTGGATCGTACAAGGCTAACATACACGGGTGATAACTGACCGCAGAGATCGATCATTTGTAACATCGTCAGAAATTTTGTCACTAAATTTTCGTCGACACAGGGAACTAATAACTATTAATATTGTTCGTTTAGTATCCTCAAAACGTTGCATTGTTCGCCTGTTCAGCCGCGGAACAAATATTTCGTTAATAATTGTATTATTGTAAATTACGAATTGGTCGATTGAAAACGATCAGTGAAATCATAGTTCGTAGTACATATTTCAGTTCTTATACATTCTTTGAACTTAATTATTTCGCAGAAAAATTTGTAAGTTACGTAAAACTTCCATTTGCACTCTGTACAACAGGGAAATATTCTTTTCCTTAAGTTACTGGAAAGAATAGTGAATACGCCTATTGTTCTCGACTTACAATCCAGTTGTCCGTGAATAAATGTGTTTCTGTTTCTAAAAGTGCCTGAAAATGTGAATGAAACTTAGTTTTCTATGCGAGGAATGTGCTATTCAATATACAGAAATGCTGAAAAGAAAAATTGTGTATTGTGATATGTATTTTATAATTTTCTACTATGCTGCACTTTTCTTCTGTTCAAAATTGTATAAGACGGTGTACAATATACCTAAATAATAAAAGAACTTGGTAAAAATGTTTTTATCTAAATGCTTTACCATTCAAACATCGTAATTATTGAAATGAATATTTTTCTTCTGATTTCATTTAAAAAATTAATTAATGGTCTCTGCGTAAATCACGTTAATGTACCGGAAGTACATACTATTGTCGGCGAATTCTATTGCGCGAACCAGGTACACATGCCTGTATTCACTGGAATAACAGACGCTCGGTGAATCGGTTAAATTGTTTCACTCGATTTAATTAAAATCGTTAGAACGAGTGCATACCATGTAATCCTATTCTGCTCGATGGAATTTCCATCGGGACTCCGTGGCGTCGCACTTTAAAAGACGGAACACGGTGACACTTACAGATGTATCAAGATTGTGCTCCTTGGAATATAAATGGATGCGATTCCCATACACCGCCTGAGGGAGGGCACAATAGGGAGCCTCGATGCTATGCACAATTGCGAGAGATTCGCAAACATCGACTGTCGTAACCGAGGGGGACTGAATAGAGAGACTCTTGATGCTGTATATATATAATTCATAGAATGAACGTTTCTAACCTGACTTCTAACATTCTCCGGGATTCCATTAAAAAAGTAGAAGATATAATGTAAAACTTTCAACAACTATACATAAAATATTTCAAGTTCCCAAACGTTATTGATGAGAAGAACTTGAAGTGGCGATAAGTTTATGATTTCCTAGAAAAATAAAAATACGTGATTTTATAGGTATACCCCACAGTGTACAGTGAATCCTCGATGAATGTTCGGCGGCTCCTCGGCACTAAATATTAAATATTCCATAAACTAATGACCATATGCAACTGAAACAAATACCACTGGCTTAAGAATTTCCAGCTCTATCACTCCGTCAAATCTCATTAAAAAAGTCAGCGTTACATTTGGGAACTAATTTAACCACATTCCGTTTCTCTTAGAACTCACGTCGCTAATATCAGACACGCTCCTATCAACAGTATAAAAATTATTTATATTTAAATCGTTGTACAAAGTATGGTTTCCACCAGAAAATCTTTACAAAAATAATTAACCAATTGCTTTGATCAACGTTACAAATCGTCGTCTCTAATTACAAACTAACGCAAACTCGACGAGGCTCGCTGCCGTGTAATTGGCATTGCAAGGGCCTCGTGCTTTGACGCTTACATGCTATAAGGCACATCGAATACATAGAAGGCTAGACAGTGATTATTTCTCCTCACTTGCTGGCAATTGGACGGGATTCATAACCACTGGTGTATGGGTGCCGCGGGAACGGGGAACGAGAGACAGAGTTGGGCTACAGGTGGTCCCGGGCAGATCAATATCCGTTCGTGTGTGAATACGTGATCGCGGCGGCCTCCAATGTCCCTTCTCGCAACGCACAGCCTCTGATCCCGCCCATGACGATGATATTGCACGGTGTAAGCACCTTCTCGTCCTACATAACCCTATCCGACCGCATTCCACGTGTTTGTTGTACATATATCGGACCATTGCAAAATTCTCGACGGCGTTTCGCTGCATTAGGTGGCACCCCGTGAAATCGCTGATATTCGGATAAAGCCAGCCGCGATTACGGAACGTAATACCACTGGCATTGTTTAGTATGCAAGTTCTAATTAGTTCAGGCGTGTTCGAATTGTCACGGATGAATTTTCGAAGACGAGGGAGGAAGAGATATTGGTTTCCCATTATCAACGATTTGCACTGGGCGATACATAAATTGACGATTTCAACTTTAATATTTTACTTTTAATTTCTTTTTGTGCATTTTTAGTAGACAATTGTTAATAGAAAATTATACACCGTGAAAATATTGATATAGTATTTCTGCAATGTTCCAATAATTTAAAAAAAGAAACAAATTCGCACGATCCAGATGGATCCTCGAAGCCAGTCACAACAACTCACGAGAACTACCCTGATGGTAAAAGTGACACGAATCGAAATTTCTGAAATGTAACGAAACTTTTAAGTCAATTTGGCATTTTCATCATCAGGGTGTAAAATTTGTTCCTGTATGGTTATCGTGTCTATTTGGATAAATTATTTGGCAAATTCCTATTCGCTATGCTAGAGCTATTGGAAATACATGTTACGGAAACACTGACTTGACAACTTTTTACGGTTGCTTATTCCTGTAAATGCATGCGACCAACTCTGAGTCACTGAGCAACAATAATACAAAACGTAAAAAAGGCTTAGCATTACAATGTACTTTGAAAATCGGTTTTAACAATTTGATCACGACTGCCGTATAAAGGGTAATTCTTACAAATCAGCCGATTCTCATATATTTATACCTGAGAATTATAGAATAATTGTTACTTCCCTCCAATTTATTGTAAATACTGTATTCTTTCATTCTTGAAACTGTCCAGGTGAGTCAAACGATCTATAAAACGATATTACTCAAGATTCCACGTTTAATTACACAAATTAAAAGTAGTATACGCTGAGTTTTTTGTAGAAATAAAGGGAGTATGAAATTTTGATTTTCTAGGAATTTGCGAATTAGTTCCTCGTAAAGCAAAATAATACTACTTACGATCTCAGAATCTCTGCCTACAAAAAAACATTAACTTAATCTCATATTATCATCCTCGGAAAGAAGCAAGCCCTCAAAAAACAGTTTTCATTCCCCCTTAAATTCCTAATGATTTTGGAAAATCTTATGGCACAAACTATCAACTGAAACTGTCTCTTAACAATTACCGATAATAAGTCCGGCTATTTTACAAGAAATAATCCCCAAGGCAGTTTAATTAAGACGAATACCATTAATTAAATTAAGACTAACAACAATACTACACATATAAATACACAAAATTATCCTCTGCAGAAACAAATATTCTTTGTTATGAAACCTGTACGAAATATTAATAATAATCCACTGGACAAATATACACGGAACATATACACATGTACTGAATTAAATTATAGATACAATCCGAGTTCTGATTTTCTTCCTTTTTTCGTAGCAGCTCAGAGATCGATTCTCTCTTAAATAACATTGACAAATAAATAATTAACCAATTGCTTTGATTTACAACGAATGAGGGGGGGGGGGGGGATCGTGGGAAAAGCGACGACGCTGTTACGTGGACACGTCACCCATGCTATCTGAATCCTCGTCAGGCTCTTCTTCGACGAGGAACTCCGGGAAACCAAGCGCGAGAACGTCCTGTTGCGACAACTCCTGCAGATACGGGTAGAACGAGACCAGTTTGTATTGGCTGATACATTCTACCACCCAGTCGTGGACAACAGGCACCCCGCGTGTCTTCCGATGCCATTCTACTAAAAGTAAAACGTTTACAAACCTCTAGTTTTCTCCTTCCTAAGAAAAAATATTCCTACAGGAGGTCGATATCTCTAGGAAAAATTAGTTGGAATTTCTTCGGAATAATTTAACAAATTATTAATAAGCTTCTGTGAATTATTACATAGTTTATATATTGTTACGAGGGTGGAAATTTGTGTGTTGTAGAATTTATTCGAAGTTCTTTGAGAAGAACTTTTTCGCTGAAAAGAGGATCGATAAGTTTAGCTTGTTATTTGGATTAATGTAATAGTATTTATCGGTTAGTGGAGTTTTTGCTGTAGTGAAACTCTCTGGAATAAGGTAGAAATATAAAAGAAAGTTTTTAAAGAAGTGGATCCTGGAACGTACGAACTGAAAGTAGATTTCGAAGTTTCTTTTCGGTTAAGTATTATCGCACGTGTTTTCCTGATCATTATTTTCAAACCCTTCCCGCTATCAGTTTCTTCTGACCCAAAACAATTTCACATTGTATCACTGACACTTCAATGAAAACCACACAATCAAAATCATGACCAGAAAATCCTGAAAAACAGACGAAATCTCTTACCAGAAACTACTTCGAGATAAATCGCTCTACCGATGATGATAATTAATTCTGACCTTCGCGCTCCAAGAATTTTATAATTCAACTTTCATAATACAACAATCTACCAAATATCCTCTCAGACATATTATAGAGAAGGAGTTGGTAAGTTAAAAAAAATGTTTAAATCTTCAACGAAAAAACATTTGAACGACCAGCAGCTCCAAAATGTTTTCGTTGTGATATGTTTGAAAGTTAAAAGTATTAAATATTCGACAAAGTCGCATTGCATTAATAAATAAATATTGCAAGATAAATAAACCTTGCATTTCGCGACGATACTCTCATTGATCCTACATTTGAGAACGGAAATATAGTCTTTTATTCTACTGTACTTGCGTTTTTTTCAACAGTACAAAAAATATTCTTTATTACAGATACCTCTCGATTATCGTCCCGAACTTGGGTCCGCGCCGGGACAATAATCTTATAGGGAGAAATGCTTCAGACCCTCGTGAATTCGTTTTTTGTCAACAAAAGTATGCGCTTGACTGGTTCTACAGCTCCCTCCCCCCCCCCCAGTGGTGGGGATAATGCCTGGACAATAATCGTGTGGAACAAGCCAGACGATAATCGAGAGGAGTCTGTATCCCGTATCAATTGCAAATATGAAGGTAATAACAAAACTCACGAATAAGTTCGTGGTCGTAGATGTCCCCCTGGGTCATTATGATCTTCAGGTTCGTCTTCACGGCGGCTAAAGCGTCGAACGAGTGGACCACTGTGGCACCCGTGGCACGTAGCAACTCCTGAAAGGGAACGTATTCTTAAGCCCGCGGAACTTGGCGAGGATTCAACTGTAAATAGCCCGGCAAGATTGGATGGCAGGAAAACGTAAATAAAATGGCTTCCCGCACGGACCCGGTAATGCGTACGCCGTCGGGCCGGAGGTTTCATTACAGGCTGTACGGCTCTTGGCTTGTTACACCGGAAAAACGTTCCGCGAATGCATCTGTGATCCACAGACTAGATGGACGAAAGGATAAAAAGATTATTCGGCTAAAAATGTTCCACAATGTGCTCGACTAGAAACTGGATTTTTTGCTTTAGGATAATGTGGAAGTGATCTGATGCAGTTGGGAACACCATTTTCATTACGGTTTATGGTAATGTTCGTCCCCTCAAAAGAAAATCGCCGTTCTTTTATGGAAACTACGGGCATCATGTGTGTATATCAAGAAGATACTATTAATACATAATGAAATTCTAACGTACAATCTTTGCTCTTGCTATTTATCCTTTAACTGTCATTTTGTTTTCTATTAATCACATTATGCTTGGGAAAAGTAAGAATTTAGAAGAGGTTAAAAATGAAAAGTGGAAATAAAATAATCAGAAAAGTCTTTTAATAAGGAGGAAACTAATGTAATTATGTAAAAATATGGGAAACTATTTTCTGAACTCTGGGATATTTAAGAGATTTGAATCCTTGCCAACACTAGAAACAAAGGATAATAGGTACATACAAGGTTTGGAACTGTTCTTCTGAGTCTAGTTTGTGCGAGTACTTCGATACTACTACTTCACTACAGGGTAATAAAAAAGGGGTCTAAGACTTTCGGAGCTTATAATACTCACCGAGAAGAGTAAGAAAATGTCCACTCAACACAGATCCTGAAATCAATCCTTTAAAAAAAAATACAAAAGATTGTTTTATATTTGTCACAGATGCTCCACACTCTATTCGTTCAGCATTACAAGCCCCCTAAGTCCTACATCCTTCCTTCATCACTCTGTACATCGTTACCACCAACCATACAATTCCCGTTTCTCCAACTTTCCAAAAACCCATAAAAGCCACGAACACGTACAGCAGCCAGAGCACGACACCGTTCGCCAATGTACGACATTCCCTCCCTATAATGGCGGAATCGTGTCAATTGCTCTATAATATCTCGCTTCGGTAATCGAGGGACGTTACGAGGGGAACACTCGTGTCCCCATCCGCCAGCAAGTGTACACCAACAAAATGGCCCCTCCGACCACGAACAGGCGAGAACGAAAACACGTTCGAATTTTCCATCGGACTAAAAAGAAACGCTCAAAGCATACCTGATATTGTTCAACCGAGACATCCACGTACGGTTCGACGCACAGGAAGACGAAACCCTCGAACAGATCCTTCTGCCTTAATCGCGAGTTCCGAGGACCCGCCTCGAGCGTTGTACAGTCGACCACCTCGTACCTTTCCTCGCTTATTAATTTCTTCTCCGTGAGCGAATCGATCACCCACTGAAACCCCACGATCCATTTCCTGTACGCGACTCCCTGCAGATACTTCAGGGTCTTGCTCGCCCCGTTGTTCGTCTCGTCCGCTTTCACGATCACGTGCGTCACCTCCCGATCGAACTTGGTCACGTATCTAGCGTTCACTTCACCGGCGAGTCGTTGCACTTGTTTAATTTGATCGAGCAGCAGACCGCTGCAAACGAAGCACAACCTCTGTCTGTTCAGGCTCTGCACACCAAGCGGTCTTATCTTGTCTTTCGTCGACTTGTCCGTTTCTGGTCCCGGTTTCAGCATCTTCTCCTTGGTTCTCGCGGCTGGACCGTACAAGATACGAACACGATTTAGCTCCACGCTGATTATATTATACTCATTCAGTTTTAATTAATACGGTTCTTTCACCGTACACTGACTACTTATTGTTTTAAAATACGGTTTGTTTTCTGTTGTACGAAGGGTGTTTCACTCGATAGAACGGAGTTTTGAGGGGAAAATTCTGAATTGTATATTAAGCGATAGTGATGTTAATTACTGCCTGTGGACTCCACGATGGTTAAAATTCACTGACACCACACTTCGATGGGAATTTTACTTGGAAATTGGAGGTTGAAACCATGGAGGCAGGTATTTGAACGTATTGTAGAGGGAACGTTGATTTTATAGAGACAGTATTATTATTGTTGTTAATTACCCTTTCGTTGGACCTCGAGCTTCGGTGTGCTTTGATAGAGAGGATTTATTGTCCTGCTGATAGTACTCGTGTCATCGGTGGATGATGGAGTTTTCACGGCCGATCTTCCGTTTTGTCGCATCACCGGCGTCGTCGTCGAGCTTTCTTTTCCTGAGCTGACAGCTTGGATACTAAAATCGTTCGCGGAATTTGATGAATGACTCTTTTTTTGAGAGAAGAGACGACGATGGTCTTGAATTTTTCATTAAGTTTTATTACTATGAAATTAATAGTTCATTTAATTTTATCAAAATAGAGTTATTTGATTTGATTGTGATAGTCAATCACAATTAAAAACACTATAATCCATAACATATGTTGCGTTAGAAGTTGCAATGCTTTTATTTTCGCAAATTGTGATTTTTAATTTTCTTTTGGCTACTGAATATGTTCCTCCGTGAGTGTTTAATTATTCTACATAAGTAATCGATACGATATCAAATGAAAAATTCTTTTCTGCAATATTAAAGCGACAGAGAATGAAAGGATGTAATCGAATAAAAATGTCTGAGGTAATTCATCTTCTCCGGATAATAGGTAACTGAACAGAAATTGTTAATACAATTACTGTATCTAATTCAATCTCAGATTCATAAAAAAATGATGTTCGTGGATCAAAGTGAAGCAGGATTATATTCGCATGTGGATCGTATTACTCCGTTAATTGAATGGATAATTACGCGCGCGCGCGCTCGGGAACGACGTGGAACGAGGGAAGCAGCTACAAAAGACTCGCATTACTTACTTTTTCGTCTTTACCTCGGGAGTGTTCTCGACAATATCGTCTTCTTCGCCCGAGTGTTCGGCGTCCTGGATATTTCAAAGCAGAAAGTGAGTCTTTAAGAGGGCCTCGCAAAGTGTCTTGCTTATCTCATAAGCAGCGGAATGAATAGTTACGATGAATAATGAAAGGCACGGTTTATATACCGAATGAAGGATCGAATTATACTACTTCTCAGTGGATCAATACTTCCGTGAATACTGTTTAGAGCAAACAATGGTTATTGATATATTTTTCTTATTCAAAAACATGCTAAAATTCTGAAGAATGTATCATAGATTGCAGGTACCGGGGCAAGCGTTGCAGAATTTTTTCCAACTTTTCGGTTCAAGATTCTATTATACCGGTATTTTCTGTTGTACCTTCGTCCTATATAACCCTATATAATCCCTACCCTGATAGAAACCGAAATAAAGACCGGTATTTAATTCGGTGATCGGTAATATATCGGTGTCGGTATAGCTTTGTCTTTGTTATAGCTAAGTTCCTGATCAGAATATTAAATTTACATCTAAATCAAGTTAAAGGGCCCTACGAATGAAACCTCAGAATGTTGCAAAAGACCTCACCTTTTGCTTCACGTTCTTCAGCCTAGGCGGTGTCTGTTGCTCGATCGTGTTCTTCCTCGCCGTCTGCCAGCCCGATTTCGCGAATAGATCGTCCTCGAACTGTTTGATGAGCAACTGGTGTTGCGTGATGTTCATCAGAGAATCATGATCGAAGCACGTTTCCTCCAACGTCGGAGCGATGACCGGTCCCCCGGCCACTTTGTCATTGTCACGGAGCGCAGGATTAATCGTCGATGATCTGTTCGCGTTGACGTTCCTCCCCGTTGCCTCTTCCCGCGTCGATTCGATCGTTTTCATTCGTAATCTATCATCCCGCATCTTCGAGCTTCTGTTCGCCACGTTCACACGCTCCGGCGTCAAGGTTTTGTCATGATCGTTCCCTGGATCCTGCGGTCTTTCAGACTCTTTGCACTTCTCTCTGAAACCTTGCTCGTTTTTCGCGGAACATTTCATCGGCAGGGAATCCCCCTTCGATTCAGTATTCCACGAGTAATTCCCGATCAACGCTTCCGTGTCTACGTTCGCGATGATCTCGTCGAAATTGTCCTGCATGATATTGTTCCTCTGTCGTTCCGAAAGTTTATCAGCCACGGTGGTTCTTCCAGAGTTCCTGATGTCCGTAATTTTATCTATAGTCGCCCCGAAGTCCGGCGAGTCGTCGTCGAAGGCAGCCCTATTCTCCGAAGAGTCTCGTCTTCTTGGGTCGCTGGACGGTTTAGGGTTAGATTCGACGTCCATTCGAAGCAAATGTCTTCGTCGTGTGTCGGCCATACTGTTCCGTATAGCGGAGGAATGGTAAGACGGGAGCTTGACGATGTCATCGATCCTTTTCTCGTTGGACCAGTTACTCAGGATTGCCTTCACGTCGTCGTACGAGTCGGAGTCAGGGGAAACTGTCCGTTTCCGTTTGGACGTGGGCGAACACCTTACAGGAGCGACGTTCGCAACATTCGTATTCTGCGGGCTGCTTGCGCAGAGATCGACCGTACCTTCTGTGTCCGAACTGGCCTCCGATATAATCCTCCTGCAAGCTCTTCGGTGTTTATTCATCGATTTCTCGCCGACTTCCGCATCAGTGTCGCCGTCGGAAGCCTCTGTTTTCGATTTGCCCGAGTTCTTGGTGTACGTAGTTTCAGACGAGAGTGTTTGACAAGAATCAACTTCCCCCTTCGTTTGGTCGACGATCATCGGCACCCTCTTCATCCTCTGATCCAGCTTATCACGGCTGAGGGATCTCTTCCTCTTCTTCGAGGGCGAAGCTTCGATTTGTGACACCTCGGAACCCTGTTGCGACCTTTTTATGAGGGCCCTCGAATGTTCGCCTCTTACGCCGGAGAAGCTGCTCCTTTTGGCAACGGGCTCCTTGTCGCCCTGTTGCGCGAACTTGGAGGCTTTTAAAGGGTCGGTGGTAGGGGACTCCAGGGACAGAAACTTCAGGAGAGAGTCTTTCCTCGGCGATAAAATCTTGACCGTGTCATTGTAGGATGTCCCCTCGGGGATGGGACGCTTCGACGTGTTCGCTTGGTACTCCTGTGTCTCATAGAGAGACACGAACAGTATGTCCTCGGAGTCCCGAAGCTGACTGACTCCGGTGGTCGAGACGATATTTTTATTCGATTCTACCTCTTTGGTGGGCGTTGCTTTGGGAATCGATGATACAGGTGCAACAGGATTAAACTGTGCTGCTTGAATCGCTGATGTCTCATTACTGGATGATCCAGGTACAACAGGGTGAAACCGTGCTGCTTGAATCTCAGGCTCATTTGATCTAGATCGATCAAAATGTAATTCCCTCTCTTCCACTTCCAAACTTTTCCCCACGTTCGTCGTAACTTCTTTGTCCATCGCTGCTGAAGTATCCTTATCCTGTTCAACCATCACATTCACCGGGATCCGCGTATAATTACCAAAACTATTCTCGGATCGATGTTCCACGGGACTCGACACAGTCACCGGGTTGCACGGTTTCTCCAATCTTGGGATATAATCCTTCATCTCCAAGGACCTTCTAGTGCTTCCCAGATACAAGAACGAAACAGGCTTTCTACGACGTTTCATGACTTTTCCTAATTTCTTGAAAATTACCGGATTCCTTCCTTGCGGTTTGTTCGCTTTGGGACCTCTGGGACCAGCCAAGAGGTCGTCAACGTTTCCACCCTCTCCGTTACGTTCTTTCGGTTTATCCTTCATCCCCGATGTTAGCCTCGCCGCAGTCTCACCGACATTCTCCCCCGCGGTTCTGTCGATCTCCCGATTCAAGTCACGTTTCACGTAGCGCAATCGCGAGACATCGTTCGTGTCCGCGGATACACTCGATTTGGGATCGGTGCTACGTCTCTTCAGGGACAGCCGATTAGAACGGGGAGTCGAGGATTGAAATGTGGACGTGGAGCACGGCCGGTTGTCCGATCGGCCGACGCTTTCAGGCGGGGAAACATGACCTGCCAGTAAATCTGGACTACCAGAATTATCCTGCGCCTCGGCGCGCACCTTCAGACCGTGAATCACTTCGTTCAAGGATCTTCGGGACCGATCCAGTGGAGGCGTTTGACACAAATCTGAACGTTTTATGAACTGTTCATCCGGCTCCTCGTCAGACCGTGGCACATTCTCAATTTCCGATTTACAGAAGTCTTCGTCGGTCTTCACGATACCAATGATATCGTTCATCTGATGATTGTTCAAACTTTTTATGTGCACGTGCTTGCCCTCTTCAAGCGTGATAAAAGACGACTCCCTCGCGGGCTGAGCTTCCTCCGACATCGATCCGTTGCTTTTGACCCTGGACCGATGTTCCTCGACCTCTTTAAACACCCGCCGTTTCTCACTCGGCTCGTTATCCACGGCCACCTGCCGCTTACTTGTGCCTTCTGTCGTGGATCTCGTCGAAGGTTCTCTCGTTTGCGCAGCTTCGCCACTTACGGATTTATTCAGCGATTTTTTACTTTTAGTCTCGATACTGACGTCCAAGGACTTGATCTTCTTTCGCCTCTTCGAGCGTAGCTCCTTCCCGAACTGCGCCACCGAGGACCAATTTTTTTTGGCTGTGGGAAGCAGGTCGCAAGGCGATGTCCTGTGAACGTCGACGATCCTATCCTGATTGTGCTCCTGAAGTATTCTGTCCCTGCCGATGTCCTTTGACTTTGCAATACCGGACGTGCTTGGTCTTTGATCTATTGGACTCACCTGCCGATTCTTATTGTTCGTGTCACTTGTTTTTCGATTCGACGTTCCCGAGGATTTTCTTGACGATGTACCAGAGGTTCTTCGAGGCTCATCCGTTTCTATTGTCCTTCCTGGATCGCCCTCGCTCTTGCGATCTCTCGACGATCGTCTTGACGGTACATCACGAGAATAATTTTCGTCGATAATGTTTGTAGGGCACATGAATTTATGGTCAGGCGTGACAGCTTTGTTCACGTTGTCTTGAGAGACCGAGCAGATCACGGTGTCGTCCAGGTTGTTGACAACAGGCACGATTCTGTTCAAATCATCGAATTCGTCGTTCTGTAACGTCTCCAGCCATCTTTGCACCTTACCTCCCTTCGATTTGTCGCTTTCATAATCGGGATCGTCCGAGGGCAACGGCTCTACGCCAGACTGGCTGTACTGTTGAAAGTAGTATGTTCTTATGTCCTTTCGCTCTAGCGTACTCGGAATTTTTACTTTATCCTGTTTCGACCTCCTTTGCTTCTTCTGTGCGTTACGATTCGTCTGAGAGCTAGATGGTTTCTTCAATGCCTTGGGATTCGCGTACGAGCAACTTGGCTGATTGTGTTCTTCTGAACCGAATTTCTGCCGGACGCTGTTCTCCGACGAGCAACTTTCCCGCGTGCTCCGTGGTCTTGTGGTGTAAAGCAATACTGCAACACGGACACCATTGCTGCAATTGTGTCGATTACAACTGTGTCGACTGGATGAATTTTCTCCATGGAGAAAATCGAAATGAGGAATGAAAATTATCGAAAGGATCACTTCGATGGATCATTTCTATGCCATCTGATTTTTATATAATTTCATTCCGTAAAATGGAACAACACTTCTCTCTTCAAATATTCGATTTCAATTTTTAAGGAAAATTGTGGAAACATAAGTATTTAGCAAGAAAAATTTAATTTTACGAATAAATCCAGAATTAGGAGATCGCTAGAAAATAAGTACTTTTTCAATGTTTTGCATACTGAAGTCCCTAGAGATAAATGCAAATTTGAAAAGAACAGTGGTTCAATTATTGTTATACTTAATATTCAGTTTTAAAGACTTCGATAATCCCTAGAGAATTATCCATTTCCGTACAATATGACGTAACCTCGTACTTTGAGAGGAAACGTGACACAGCGGAGATCAATTAAAATTTAACGCAAAGCATCTGCTAAATGTCCTTCGAAAGAGTTTCGATGGTGAAGCAACACACGTAAACGTTAAGACCTCGTAAAACATTGGACTTTTGGATACCTGTAGGAAGCATCGTGATCTCAAACAACGGCGGTACGTGAATTTTTGAGAGACTCGCTCGGCCCTGCGAAACGGATAGCTGACCTGAGTGAACACGATGTCGTAGCGCCGGCTCGTATACATTTTCTGATTCGTGTTTTTTTAAACAACAGTGGCGGAATTTGATCACGAACGGAATATTAGATCTTCTAGTATTTATTACGTTACGACTACAACCTGAGAAACACGCTACACTTATCACATTTTCCTAATTTGTAGTACCCAAGGAGATTAAAAAATAAATAAACTGTCTATTATTTACACTAGAACTGTTATTTTTATTTAATATATTTAATAAAAATAACCATTAGATTAAAATATGCACATCGATAAATTGACGAACTCCTTTGCTTATGTATTGTAATAAATGTTGCGAAAAATCTCAGGAAATACCTACATGTTACAGCATTTTATTAATTTTTAGAAGAGAGTGCTATATAGTGTTAATTATCTCAAAATACTAAATGTTATACAAATTTGTATCAGAAGTTACCGAATCATTGCTTGTCTAAATAAATGCATTGTCATGCGGTGGATATACTGGGGGTTTACATATAACTTTTTAAATAATTATATGAATTCTCCGATTGTGTCAAAAAAATTTCTATTACCTTACCTTACCGACTCGATTAAAGTAAGATTTCAAATTTGCTTTTTAACATTATATATTGTCCGTTCTTCTTAAGTGTGCAAATTCTTTATTAGTCACTGCATTTACGCAGTAATATTTGTAAAGAAAACTGAAGTACTGATGAGTGGAGGGTACTCACCGTTGCTGCCGCAGTCCTTTTCTATCGCCTCGATCAATTTCTGTAATCTACTCGTGTAAATCTCCACATGCTCATCCTTCGATAAACTACGGCGTTGGAGAACACAGTTGCACAATGGACACGATGCGTTCTTGCTTTGAAACACCGGTTGGATGCACTTGCCGCAGAATCGGTGGCCGCATCGGGTTTTCACCGGTTCTGACATAGTGTGCAAACTGAAAAAAGTACACAAATCATGCGATGTTTCGTGTGAAATTAATTTTTACAAATAATACATTGTCAGAGAAATATATAAAATAATATTGCTCATAATGAACTAATTAGGGAACGGTCTCCAGGGATGTGCATGAATTTCAAGCGATAATTAGGCGCCAGTGGACAGTGATTCAAACTTATGATAAAACATAGAGGGAATCAATTTAACGATGGTTAATTTATGAAGGCAAACTCTAATGTAACTTTAATAATGAACGTGAAATAATTAAGAAATTAATTAATTTATATAGTTTATTTAAAAAGGAAGATAAAGTTAGATAACAATGTATCCAAAATAATTAACAGTAATTAATGTAACTTTGTATATAAGCACTGGTGTAATTAATTTATGTCACATGCTTTGTAAGCTATACATATAATGTTATCAGTAACACGATAAGATATGTAATTCTGATTGATGATTATCAGAATAAAATGATAAAGAGGTAGTTATGGAACATGTTTTCTCATTATTGTACAAAAACGTATCTAAGATTTATATAAAGTTAAAGATAAAAGGTAATTGAAGTGCCTACACATGAAATTCCTGCATTTGAAATACTGCAATGCAATGATTCTATTAGCCTTGAGAACTTGTGTCCCTATATTAACAACTGTGGTTCATATAAAAATGTTATCTGCTGTAGGAAATGACTCATATCGTGCAGTCTGATGATTTCATATATACTTCAACTATGATATGTACAAAAAGAAAACATCTATAAAGAAGTTATGGACACTATTATCGCTAATATATCTTTTATAGGAGCTTACACATTTAAGTAGTAAGAGTGTAAAACTATTACTTGCATTACACCCAAAAAGTTTCCATTAAAACAATCTAAATATATACACATATATACATTAAACAGAAATAATAAATTATATGTTTATTCCTGTAAAGTATTACATTATTTGCAGAATAAATTCATTGTAATCATAAATGAAGTATCTGTTATAATAATATAATTACCCATCAATATATATTACAATAATCATATCAATGAAACTTAATATTCCAATGCAGCTATATAATATCGACATTAATTTCATGTAACAATATGTACTTTACAAGCAAAATTGAAAACAAAATATTTCTTAATATGACTATCGAAATTAAAATGTTAATATTACAATGTATTCATTCATAAACCTTCAAAGCACTATTGTAAACATAACCTATACCTTAATGTGACAACTATACGAAACAGCCACACGCTTCAATGCACCACTATAATATATTAAATTAAATTTGAAATTTATATGTTGTAAATTATTCACATATTAATTATCATTCTTAAATATCCGTAGAGCAGCCAAAAAACTCACCAAATTGTGCATTGTAGACATTGCTGCAGATTCTGTATTGTTTCTACCAGTCTGACAGCAGGCGCGTTCAATTCCTCCATCATTTTTCCCTTTATTTGGTGGCAATCACATCGCGAATATTTAATCACATTTTATTTCTATCACATTCACTTTCATTTATAACACTGCGATTACAGTAACAACCTCCGCGTTCTCATCCATTGTTAACCAATCATAGTTTGAAGATTCAGCCACGCGATTCATGATGGCGTTGCCATCGATCGCACGATGCAGTGTTCAAACGCGGTCGCGAGATGTGCTTCAAATCTTCAAAATTTCACAGTTTCGCGAACGATTTAATCCACAATGTAGAACAATTAGGTAAGATACAAATACTAATAATATTGATGATTCTTGAGATAATTGCAATTGTGGGATAAGCTCGTTCAAAGAAGGATTATAACGCTATGGATTTATGATCTGCAACGATAGGAGCGTTAGTGAATTCAATACTGGGCAATGGCGGGAATCCAGGGAACTGGAAATATCGTGATCAAACGAAATACCCAGCAGGATGTAATTGAATCTACCTGATTAGTATTCGGTTTTAACTGCATCGATCGAGGGTCTTTGAACTTGAACTGGTTAAATGGCAAGAATAATTGATACATTAACCTATAATGTTGACGGAGACGTCACTGGTTCCGTACCTGTTTTGCTAGGACCACAGTAGCGCCATATTTAAAAATTGTGAATATTTTATTCTCATTCATTATCGAGAACATAAATTCATAGTACACAATACTTTTTGTTTAAATGATTCTATAAAAGAAAATAGTGATGTTACATATCAAAAGTTCCCGATACTTAAATTGTTCATTTTGCTTCTGATTTCTTGTATTTATGAGCGTAAATGTTTTTGTTTTGCAGGAATTTTCATAGCAATGAATAATACAGTGTTATCGAGTACAAGTAGCAGACAAGAAGGCCGATAGTTAAAGAAGATGACCATCGCAGACGAGACCTGTTGATGACGTTATGGGGTGGATTTATCTTGCCAATATTTTGCTCCTCTCCTTATGCGGTAAGTATTGATTACGTAATCCAACCTTATCTCATACATCATTGATATACAGTGAGAAAAAATATTCGTATTTTTATAATGCATACAATCGAATTTTCAAATTCATTTACATTTTCCTGAGAAAACAACAAGAAGTATTCAAATATGTGTCGCGACACTGATTCGTCTAAAGCACCAACTTATTTGACGATTTCTCGTCGAACATTGATCGAAAGTATTTACATATTTTTTCCAACATTTTATTATTGCCGAGAGTCCAATATGTTTGCTTAAAGATGTACTCAGTTCTAAAGTATTTAATTAACTCTGGACAATTCCGAAACAGTTAAAGTTTTCTCTTCTGGGATCAATTACGTCTCACTGAGAGTATATGAGAAAAAAGTTCTCGGATGGAATGGCTATTTATAAACTGTGCTAACAAAAAAAATTTAAAAACAATGGAGATAAATTGAAACAAAATGTTTACTTCAAATTTTTACTGCAGAAATTATTCATTCATAGGGACGAAATGTAAATCTGCTGGAACTGAAATACACATTTTTCTAAATTAAATCTATCATATTTGTGAAAGACATTTTAATTGCAGAATATAAATTTTATAATATTGAGATATTTGATTTTTGTTAAAAGAAGGTACAGAATTATTAGGTGTTACAAAACTCTTTTTTGCATTTTGTAACGAGTTGGTATCATAAAATTAATATTTTTGTGTGACCATCAACAGGTGTACATTAAAGGTGCTGTGAAAATTTCAGTGACATGTGCAAAGTTTCGGGTGAAATTAATTTCATATCTATAACACTGCAAAATAGTTTCTTATATTTCTTAGCGGTTATGCATGCGAACGAACTGGCACTAACTGATTTAAAATCCGGTAAATTTATTTAGAGATTTATTTATTTTACCTATCAATAAATTGGATGAAGTGTAACATCCTGTATGTATGAAATTGTAAAATACAATGCATAGGAAATCTATTTTCTCTGAATAAATTTACCAGAAATAAGTCAACTGCATTGGCAGTGATGAAAAAGCACAAACCCATCCACATAACGAACTTAGAGTTGTGTGTATACTTAACTTAAAACACGACAACAGTATACAACAAGAAGGATTGAGATACACTACGATAAGGTTAAGTGTATACATATTCACCATAGACCCTATTACGTAAATATCCATACACTTTTTACTAAGACCCTGGTGTCACAAGATCTTATGTGACTCTAAATCACGATGTCTACTATAGGTTGAGCAGAAGATTTTAGCCACTGAAGTTACCCGTACCAAATCTTGAGTAGGATACTCTATGAGGTCTAATGCGCCTAAGCATGGGAAATAGGACACACTCAATAATCCTCAATCAATCCCTCTGCTAGGACCTAAAGTCAAGTTCACGAGTTCTGGTCGTTCAAACAAACATAATCCTGTCGATCTAGTGGAACAATTGACAATAAACTTCCTCTAAATCGGCCAAAACTCGTGACTCAAAACCTTGTTCCTCTGCGTTCTGGATATGCTCCAGCGAGCAACTCTACCGTTGCCTTTCATCCCTCTGTACCTTAATGTCTTATCGGAAAAAGACGAGTACCGTACAGAATGAACTCCGCCACTAATATCCATAACGCGTAGGCAAACCAAAGAAATTGAAAATGCAGTCGGGAAACAAGATTGGACCATAAAGAAGCACGGGTCTCTGTGGCCAGGCTATTAGCTCCTCTTTTGCATCTCCTCCACATCTATTGATCTCTTCTCCGATACGCTGAATATTGCCCCGTAACTAGCTAACCCAGACGAACACCACAAAACACATTCCCCATATTCAAGCTATCGGTTCCCTGCAGTCCTAAACCCCAACTTACACAAACCTAGCTTCTTACTTCAGACTATCCCAGGAGTCCAATCTTGTCTCCCAACTGTGTCCAAAGTCGAAAGTCCAACTATCTAACGTGTACAATTCCGCGGGAGATTACAAAAAGACATTCTAAAACGAGGAAATCTCCCCAACCTCCCAATAGGGCAGCAAATGGCCCTGGATTGGCCACGATACCAAAACGGTATCGTAATGATTGAAGAACTAGACTGGCCAAGATCTTCTAGCCCAATCGTAGACCCAGAAGCCTTAATAACAATTTGATCGGTGTATATTACTTCTTTTCACGCTGCTTTGGATTGGAAAATAAAATAAAAACAAAAAAGCGGCGGGATTGCCGTTGCCACAGGGTGGCGGGGCGGGGGCCCATGGACAGTCGCAGGCTGGTTCGCCGAGCACCCCGGGCCCCGGCGGTGGTACAGCCGGCAGCGGCGCGAGCAGTACACTTGGCGCCGCTGGCGGCGGTGCATCTGGCTCCGGCACCAGCGCCGGAGTTGGCCTCGGCGTTACTGGAGGAACCACCGGGGGCGGGGCCGGCGGCGGTGCCGCCGGAGGTGGTACGGGCTGGTCCACGGGGCCTGCTCGTCGGGGCCGAGGGTGGCGCGACTGGCGCCGCGGCGACCCCACCCTTATGAAGGGTCTCTGGAAGTCGAAGGGACCTCTAGGTAAGTCATCGATTTTTGTATACATATAGTCCGTGGACACGATATAGGGTGATTGTGGAAGCTTGACTGACATGTCCCGATCACAGACGAGGTATAGAAGTAGACATTTTATACAATGTATTTTTGCAGCCCACTTTTCTGGGGTTACGTACCCCATTTCCATTTTAGTGTCAGTACCCACCGTAGATTCACCGTTCTCAAAACGTGGAGGTCGCTAAGATCATTATTTAGTGTCACTACCCACCGCAGATTCACCGTTCTCAAAACGTAGAGGTCGCTAAAATCTGCGATGGGTAGTGACACTAAATAATGATTTTAGTATATTTAGTAACCACTATTGTCTTGTTGAGCAGTAAAACAGATCAAATATTCAACTGAAACGGGATTTAGATAGTTTGTGCAATCCTAAATGTGGCTTCAGGCACTTTAATGTAGTTCTGTTGATACTTGTGTTACATTGTCTGAAATATGAGTAGGTACTTTAGCTGTTACTTGACTTTACAACCACCCTATATCCGTTCAACTCTTGTTGGGAAAGATGTAGCGAAGTTTTGCAACTAATTCACGTCACGCTTCTTGCACACGCGCGTAGCGATACCAAACTATAGCCTCGTTGGTGTAAATCCAGATTTCATTACATTGTTGCGTAGAAAGTGTTTTTTAATCAAGACAGAAGAGCATGTTCTTGTGTTTTCTTACTTTCTTGTCGGTCTGTAGTTATATGTTACTGGTGAAAGTTATTGGTGTGTCTTTCTAACTGGATCATTTTTTGAAATGATTAACTTTAATGAACTCCCTTTAGTCTGTGTATTAGATATTTGGGCCGCGCACGAAACTGTTTAACCCGTAAGAAATATATAGACCTGAAGAACACGGTAATCGTCGTAATTTCTTGCAACACAGTGTCTCGGGAGAGAACCGGTGAAGTTCTTCTGCAAGTTCCAGTGGGGTCAGAGTTGTAACTCATTTACAGTGCCATGCACGTGTAGTGGTAGCGATGAGGTTTAGGAAACTAACGACTTTCATCATTAACATCATTTACAGCTTTATCCATTCACCGATATATTTGTAACCTAATTCTGATTTTTCTATTAATTTTCGTACCAATCCAAGGCCTTCTTACTCCGCAATTTATTGTGACAATTTTTTAAAGTATGTACTATCTCATATTATTTGCATTAACAATTTGTTATTCATGTTCTTTTCAAAACTAATTTCTTATACATACTTAGGTTACTCGCATGTCTGCAGCTTTTAATAAATGAACCTCAATTAATTTCTGAACTTTTCGAACTTTTTAGATTGCAATCTACAATGTTTCGTTAAACTAACAGGCCAGCTAGCTATCTCGCGAAACTTTTACGTTGCTTATTCTGGGCTTATCAACGTAAGCAGTTTCTCAACGTGTCGCGAAGGAAACTTTTCAAGTTTATGAACTTGCTTTGGAAGCAGCTGTCAGAGAGTCTTATACCGCGACATCGACTCGTAAACCGTCCCTACGGATGGTTCGATTTCGTGGCAAATAGTTCGGTATTACATTGCCGAACATGTCGATGGTTCGAATGGAATACTAAATCCAGAAATCCTTTTTCCGTGCAACGAAGTAATAGGATCTGTCTCTACGAGTTCCGTCCTCGTAAACCCTTATTTAATGACGAATTCCACGCGTATTCGAGCGGACTACTTAGCTTCGGTCCGCTCTTCACGCCGAGTTCAGCGTCAACTTGGCCGTAAATCGAAGATAATAGACCGGGGAAACCGTGAAAAATTCATGAAACGAATGAACAGTAACGCGTCTTTTCGCTCACAGACCCCGCATTCAGATAGCCGATTTAACTTTCAGATTCGGCATAGACCGGCCGCAATCTTAGATTCCGCCGGTGTTTAATTATGAATACTTAAAATTCACGGTGGTCAAAGACAAAGCTTGAATTACATTTGCCCAGAAATATAAATTTTCAATACTTCTTCGGTTAGCGTCTGGTGAGGCTAATGAGATATCAAAAGCATGAATTTGTAACGAGTCCCTATTCTGTGGAAGCGTAATGTATTGAAGTTGCTGGATCACTGTTTGCTTGCAGATGGACAGAGAAAAGCGGACGAAAATGTTGAATGGTTTAACTGTATTAAAAGAAAGTATTAGAAAAAGACAATTTATTAAAAATTCAACTTTTTTTTCCGTTACACTGTTCTATCCTCAATCAAACTGGAGTCAGAATGATGGTCAAAAGAAAGGTTCCAAAAAGAAATATCGTAACAGAAATATCATTTGATACTGTCTGTAGTTATGGCGTTCTCCAGAAAGTTCTGGACAAGCTTAAGTATTAGGACACTTATCGAATATGTAGTAAATGTTACAAGTCGTTAGCAAAATTGCTGAAAGTCTAAAATGAATACTGTTTGGGGCATATTAAAGCTGGATGGACAATATTTGTGCTACTATTAAGTAATAAGAGTGATTTGCAATATATCATTTTTACGAAACATCACATTTTCTTCATTCTGATCAGGTGTTCTTATACTTCTGACAAGAATGAAACGAAAAAGTGTTTCAAACAGAAGTTCAATTGTACAATAGGCGCTATAAACTTGCCTTAACAAAAACGTGAAAAAAAACATATTTAGAAATTTTATTTTTAACAAAAAACTTTTTTCAAAATTTTATTAACGCAGAGTTATAGCACTTATTGTACCATTAAAATTGTAGTGCACTAAAAAATATACGATTCCATTTAAAAAAACAAAGTTGACCTTCACATGACCTCTACGCGTCCACATAGAAAAAGTTACATCACAAAGTGTACTCCCTGATACCATTCAACTTTTGTGTGGGCATGTTTCAATATCGTCAACAGTTTCGGAGATATTCGAGTGGGTCGCTTTAAATGGCGATGCGAATTCCCTATACAAATACTTGATACGAGGTAATAATGATAGGAATACCATCCACGTCCTACATGCGTTTCACCGCCACCGGAAGCCAGAAGTGTCAATTTAAACTTTCTCTCGGCCATCAATCTATTCTCCACACGCGCCCGTTTCATCCCCTAATCTTTCTCCCGCACGTCAGTGAAACCCCCAGGCATGCAACGCACGTGTGTCCGTCCATCCTTGCGACCGCAACCCCCCGTTAACTTTCTCGATCCTCTCTATCCCGTTCACCTTTAAACACACGAAAGCTCGTGGCGCAGATTCTCTAGGAAACGCGGAGGCGTACATCTTCCTAGCGTTGTTGATCGGTTTCGTCACCGTGGTGGTCGGCTGCTGGCTGTCCGACAACTGTTGGTCACCTGAACCAGAAGGTGTGGTCACCCTCGCATAGCCTAGTGCAGACTTCCGTTCGTCCAGGCGATAACAACTAGTACGGGGCCCCTCTGACGGGAGTATACCGGACCTGGTCCACACGGAGGAGCGTAACGCAGCCGGCGTCGTCGCAGCAGGGAATCAACGGCCGTTGCTCGACATTAACGATAACCATACGCTACCGCCAATATGACTAACGCGTAATAAAACTCTAACCCCCCCCCCCCGTACGTTTGACGAGAAAGCGCGTCCAGGTGAAACACGATGTGCACCGCTCAGCGTACGGATAATATCGTACACTGGACTCTTGCTATATTGCCGCGGCCGGGGCAGCCAGAGAGTAAACTTCTCGGAAGCGGTAAAATACGCTAGTGGCGACGGCGTCCGCAACGTGGCGGGAGAATGAATTTGTGTCTGCGTGAAAGTACGCGTGGAGGGGAAGTGTCTCGTGCGGCAATATAGCAAGCTGCGATGTATCAAGAGTCCACTGTATGTATAATGTTCGCCGGTATCGATGCGCAGCTAACCGAGCGAAAAACTTAACCTATAAGTCATCGTTGATACATCGACCTGATCCCACGTGGACGTCGATCGCTTCTTATCGAGCGCGAATCGTCGATTCGACATCGATCAATCGAAGAGAGAATCGACACGGAATATACCGATGAGGCCGACTGCGCGGAAATCGTGCCAGGAATCGAGAGTCTCGCTTGCGAGCCAAGTATACATGTTCCTCGAGCGGTGGGGCTTATTCGTTTTGCACCGTGTCATAAACGCGATCGAAGCTCGAATTGTTTCCTATTGATCGACACCATAGACATATAATTATACATTCTACGTCTATGATCGACACGCGGCCGTTGAGAGATATATCGATCACGCCCGCATCGAACGAAGCTGAATGTAATCGTTTGGAGAGACCCAAGACGTTTCCGCGCGAACTTTTTGAAATGTGAAGGTTAGATGGATCATTCGGGTATAATTGGCGGGATCGTCGAACAACGATCGCGATGATATATGAAAGCAGAGTGTGAGAGAGAGATTGAGTCGCTTTGAAGCTGGTAGTTAGAGCAAAATTCGAAGTGGGTCAATAATTTCATTTCGGGGGCCCGCTGACAACTTCGAATATCGACGTTAGCGGGGTCCATCGCGCTGGAACGAGTAACCAGCGAACGGAACACAGAAAACCGTATATACCCTGTGTATTGTATATATATATATGTATATGTATGTATATACCGTGGCACGATTTACCCTCTTGTCTTAATCACCTGCTAGGACTTTGGGTGCCGGTGCATCGTTGAGCTACGGTGTGCTATCGGATGAAAAGACAATGGCAGCGAGGGTAATTGGGACTTTCGAGTTTTCACCTTTGTGTTTGTCTTCGCCGTATTGTACGCAAAATTGTTGTGCGAAGAAGTAAACGATCTGTTTTTCTTTTAAAAAAAGACATATTGTCGAGGGTATGTATTTCTTTTCTGTCTTAGGAGTGTGGATGGAATTCTGGGTGTACATAGTTTGGGCCGTTGTTTAGGGTGTGGTACGATGTTGTGGCACCTTTTTGGAACTTTCTTAACTCGTATTCTAGCTAGTAAATCGTTTAATTTAATTCACATATGTTAGGATGCATTTGAGGGATGCAGTTTAAATTTGAATATACTTGTATGAGTAATGTGGTTTTGATTAACTTTGGCATTTCAAGACCCGGGGATCTAAAAACTATTTTCAATGGATTATTTTCGTCGGTGAAAGTGTAGTTTGGTAGGATTGAAAGTATTTAATCGAAGAAGTTGAATTCAAGCTGGTTCTGAACTGTCTGAATAATTATTAATATAAGCATCTGCAGTTATCCACGTACATTTCGTGGCATAACTATAAAACCACCCTACAATTTTCAATTCTTATTATGGTTAAAATAAAAACGACCCAAGTCTACCATATCTGAAAACGTGTTGAGAAATAATGTTTCTCCAGAAAAAGATAGATTATATTCCTATTTATATAGATTATATTTGTCCCCCGTAAAACTCAAACTCGAGGATCAACATAACCGCCCGGCGCCATATTGCGGCTTCCTAAAAACGATAGAGACATTCATGAATTTCTTACGATCGTTCCGAAGAACTTCTTCCGTTAAATACACACACCCGACAGGAAAGACCGATTATACCATGAATTCAACCCTCAAAAGTGCATTTTATCCACGATCGTTGGCGTTTCGAAAAGTTTCCGCAACCGGTCGCCACACCCTGGACCGGCGTTTCAAGTTTCCACGACCTCGCTTCGAAATAAAATGGCGACGATTATTTCGCAACGAAGACAGTCGACGGAAACGGTGATTTCCTGACCTCGGCCGACGACGGTGGAGAATCGTCTCGTCGTCGAGTGCAGTTTCGCCGCGCGAAGTGTATAAAAAAGGAGAAAAAGATAAAAAAAAACAAATGAACAGAAGAAAAATCGCGGATCGTTTGTAATTTTGTAAGATTTGTAACGCATCTCTGACGCATTCCACACGCGCGAATTGTCCCGCGATACTCGATCGCGCGTCGTCGCCACTTGAAGCTCGATCTTCGATCGGTTTGCTCGCCGACAACGGTATATGTACCTTGCATTTTCCATTAGGTCTGTAACAGCGAATTAGCCGTGACAAATTCATGCACCTGCGACACACTCTACGCACGGCGCAAACAGCGCGCTACCCTGAAAACCCCCACCCCATTTCACCCCCCTGCCCTCGATCGATATGAGATTTATGGTGTTGCCGCATTTGCAACACGCTCTGTGGATATTTTCCGCAAACCGGGGCCCCGGGGATAATTTCCGAACTTGATGGCGTGCCGGAAATTCCGTTCGAGTTGTGTAAATCACTCTCGAGTGCGATTCTCGAATTTTCACTTTATTGCAACCGACATTACACGTGTATACGTGTACACTTGTCTTTAAAAAAAAAAAGAAAAGAGCGTTGTATCGATGCAACACTGTGCGTTAAAGGGTTAATAGTTCGTATGTGTTGTTTAATTTTTACTCTTCAGTCGTGGTATAGGGTGTTCCATAAAGGTTTTTAAATTGAAATCACTGATAAAATAGGAATAATATACATAAATATTTGAATCGCATTTTGAAAATTTCAGTGGCGGAAATTATGTCGTCCAAAATTTCATAAACACGTCGGCACATGGCTAATGGAAGTCTCTCCATTTGTGAGCGGATGTTGCCTTCCATTTGGTTAATGTTGGTTGGTTCGTTTCGATAGTCCTTGATTTTGAGGTAAAGCCACGAAAAAGGGGATTGCACACAAAGGAATAAGCCACAAAGAAAGGGTTAAATCCGGGCTCCTGGGAGGGCAAGATGTACAATTATTACTTTGATATAATAGACTCGTGCACCGAAAGCACACTGTTGCCTGATCAAAATTTCCATTGAAACTAAATTTTCGGAGACTTGTGCATATATGAACGCTGAATTCCCTCACCATATTGTTTAGAAGTCACGGCAAATTCAAATGTAAACGGTGTTATAGAACACCCTGTACAATGAAAAGACATACAAATCTCAGAAAAAAAACGCAATAATTAATTCTAGTTATTATTATTATTTGTAGGTCACTGAAGAGTGATTAAAACATAATTGAACACTTTCAATGGAATATTAATAATGTAATTCATTCTGGATCTGTATTTCTTTGTAACAACGTTTCGGGGGAAATAATTCCCGTTGCCTTGACTGTATATCTTCCCTGCAACCAGGATACCCGCGGAATAGGCATGAAGGGTTTATAAGGATTTTTACAGTTCAGACACGTGTCTCATTTTGACATTTGCTGACGATAGTCTGCTCAAAATTCGCCTACAGTGGTGGAGCTTAAACCCGACGTAGGTCAGGCAACGCGAAGTCCGCATTAACCATTACTGCGCGACCCTATAAAAAAGGAACCTACACAGAGACATTTAACCTTCTCATTTGAAACAGCAAATATTTATTTAACAAATCATGTTAGTCAAAAATCAAGTCTTGAAATATCAACGTGAGAATTAATTTAAATATCATTCGAGTGGAAGTAATATTTCTTCTTTTCTTTATCCCTAAAGTATCTTCGTCGTAATGGAGAAAAATGTGGTTTCTGATTACATTCGATATAAAGAAAACATAGATTTTTTAGTTTCCGTCGGGGGCAATTTCTGCAATCACGATTGAAACCTCGCAGTTAGAAACGTCGTGAATCCGAATCTAGACGAAGAAAACCGTAGCTTTTTTCCGTCATCTAACATTTCCTAGCCGGCGTAACCACGTTTTTCGTTTACGTCGATTAAATCGCCGAATAGGCAGCCGAGGCCGCCCGCCGCCACCGCGAAAAACTCGCGAGCCCGATAAAAATAATTTATCCTCGTACACTCGGTCTCGAGAGTGAAATTTTTGCCGATCCATTCCGGGGAATGCCGGCTGCGGGGAAATGATGAAATTTAGATGCTCCGACGTAAATTTTTCTTCTGTATCCGCGAGAGTGGCGGCGCAGAGACCGAACACACACACACACCCACACAGAGACATCGAATTTCCCCGTGAACCAGATCAATCGGATGGATTCTGGTCGAATAATATTACATCAAAGCATATACGTGTCTATCACCTACTGAATTATCATCTTGCAATAAATTATAGTTTCAAAGAAAAATATTTTATCCGTATAAATGGAGGACAATTCTGAGAATGCAGAAGGAACATACTTACTAAAGTAATTAAAAAAGGTTTATTGAGAGTCAAGAGTTTAAATTTTTGATTGTGATGGTGCAAATGTAACTGTGAAATAATTATTCGAAAATCTACAATTATTCTAAAAAGGAAAAGAAAGAATACTCGGTTCAATTTGAAGTATTTCCGTAACAGATGGACGAAATTCCATGATTCGTAATTAGATTGTATTAACGATGAAAATTCTCAAGTTAATATACATTTAAGAGTTATGCAGGATAAAAATTATTTACAGATTCGATCCAATACATATACCAAGCACGATTTACT